GCAGTTTTTCTATTGGTACTACTGTGAAAATATTTTGATTTACAGTGGTATTTCCACTGGGAGATGCTTTGTCTCCAGGGTAACTTCCCTGAGAGTGGTTTCAAAAGTTAGTCCGTGCGGAGTACTGCGTCTCGTTTTGCAGTCTTCAAATGCCCTTTTATAAAGTATAGTAGAAGATGTTATTCTTTTTCTGGTACTATTTTTGCCCCGACTTGGCACCTTCTTATTGTCTGAAAAGTGAGCAGACCCGTGTAGGTGTACTCAAGGATTTGATGAAGACAATGTGGGCTTCACTGTAATTTAGTGATCAAGTGAGAAAACACCAGATGGAACTTGGCATGGCAACATCATGGAAGTTGCTTTGTAACAGGGTGGAGAATGGCTATTGGCAGAGGAGGAAGGAAAAGGAAGATTTTGTAGAGGGTGAGACAGGAATAAGGTTGCTTGGACAGCCAGGGTTGTTGAGCATGAAGATGATGGAAGGATGTTATGGAGGCAGAAGCAGGAGGAGGAGAGACAGAGCCAGATCCTCAGCTAACATTGCTGGGTATTTTTAGGAGTGCTTCCTGAGAGTGCTTTCTGTATATAAACAGACAAGGTTCCAGGAGGCAGCAGTGAGGGGGAGTAGTGTAACTCAATGATACTTGTACTGCAAATAGTTCATTGCAAAGAGCAAATTGTTTGACTTTATTAAACTGCAGCCTCCTGCAACAGATCAAGGGTCTAGTTTCTAAGCAAAATAATTGTAGCCTAAAGAAAACTTAACTGTTCAAAGCCTCGCAGGCCCTAGATTCCTGTTTGACTTGGCTTCAGGAGCTGCATATACCCTTTGAACCTTAGACTATGAAGAAAATTTGCAAAGCACAAGCTATTTTGAAGGCCCTCTCCACAGTAACACATAGCTCAGCCTCATTATCAGGAAAATACAAGACAAAGAATAACAGGAGGAGGATAACATCTGGCAACTGGACTTGACAGTGCTTTGCAATTCTGTAGAGGCTGGCAGAGGCTGGGCAGATCTAGACACCAGCATTATCAGAAGAAAGTCACCTGGTCTTGGTGGGCCGTGCCAAAGTTAAAGCAGAAGTGGGAGCCACTGGCTAAAGTGGAACAGGCCAGTGTAATGCAGAACCAGGGGACCTGCCTGTTAGACTGCTTGCCTCCATCCTTGCCTACAGGTGCTGTGTGTTACTTAGGGCGCTGTACCCCAAAAGCTGTTATGTGTACGCTGAAGGCCATGAACAAAATGGTTACTCTGGAATGTCGTCAACTTAGGCTTGTCCAGTGGCTTGGTACTCAACCCTGAAAAGTTAGTCTTGGTCACACTTAGTTTTTCAGCTTTGTCGTCTATTCTGGTCCCAGTTCAGATTTTTTTTTTTTTTTTTTGTAAGAGAAAAAGGGCAAAAGCTATGAATTAAGAAGGTCCCACAGGAGGTCCATCCTTGCTGCAGCAACCCCAAAGCTACCTGTGCAAGGAGGAATGAATTAATTCACCTGCAAGAAAAAGGCTGACGCTCTTAGCTGTTGCCACTATACATGGTGTGTACCTGGGCAATATCCTGGCTGGCATTTCTTTCCATGGGAAACCTGTCCTTGGCATCATCTCTTTCCATGCAACTTGTTGAAAAATTCTATCGTCTCTTCCCTTGGCTCCTTGCAGAGCAGATTAATGGTCCCACTTTCCTTTTACAAATAAAACCCAAGATGCAAATCCAAAGGATAAATAACGCAGTGCAGACATGCCCGCAGCAATATTCTCTGTATTTATCATTGCTGAAAGTCTGGGAGGAAAAGCTGGTGAAGGCAAGATATCTTATGTGAGAAAACTATTCTCAGACTTTCGTTCCAATTCTGGAGGCTGGAGAGCAGTCCTGTTGTGCTTTTCCCCAAACATCCTGCTGCAGCTCAGGCAAACTCCAGGTGCCTTGTCTGTGAAAAGGGGCTAAGATGCCCATACTCCCTCGCAGGCTTATGTGTGGGAAGTACACCAGCTCCACCACAGTGCTGGAGGTCACTCCTTCATAAGCATGCAGAATGAATAAGTGTTTGTAAATAAACCTTAGCATTTGCTCTGCACTGGGTAGGATGTAGGCGCGGACAAGATGGTAGCATCAACGCTGTTCTGTCTATTAATATGTCTGAATCTGCCATTCTGATCACTTCCACTCCGCCTGCAGTCTCAGCTGACATTGCTTTTGCCAGGTTATATTTAGGTGGGGCACTGGGCAAGTGTGATTACAGCTGGCACTGCAGAGGCACTACACCTGCAGGGGAGTGAGTGGGTCTTCCACTCGATTCAGCAGCAGCACAATTGGCAGCTGCATGCCAGGACCAAAGGTCTTGTTGTTAGCAAGGATGGCTGTGGTGGAAAGTTCTTTGTTGTTTCTCGGGCTGAGCTGGTGGCTTGCAAAGAGTCAGCAGCTCTGGATCTCGCAATTGTAGCACAAGATATACCTGGAACCACCCCCAATATTGTTTTCATTTCCTTTGTCTTGATTCTAGCTGTAATTTTAAGAGACTTTTGCCTAACTAAGCACAGGGGCAATAAGCCACCTCAGTGTGCAACACATGTGGGTCAGAGATTAGGACTGCTTAATTGTCATCAGCTCCTGTGCCTGCACCTGTGCCCCTGCCAGGCCACCTCCATGGTGCTGCAGCTCCTTGCACAGAGGGAAGGTAATGGTGGGCTCAGGCACTGGCATCTGTGGAAGGGTGGCGAAACTGCGAGGAGAGGAGGGGACCCGCCTCCCACTGTCTGAACTTGACAGCAATGCAAAGCGCAGGAACCAGCTCAGGCTCTTCTAGAAAGGGACTTTTTTTGTCCTGGAGTTGGATAGCTACTTTATTGTCTTTGGGTCAGTGTTTTTGATCTCTCGTTCTTCATCATTTGACTGTTTTTTTTCCAGGTTGAAAAGGAAGCTTCCACTCTACACCTGTCACAGTGACATCCAGCCAGCAGCCCTGCTCTGCCAGTGCCTTGGCTTTCCTGGCGGGCTGCAGCTCCAGCCAGACTTACTGCTCCCAGCTGCAAGTCATGCATGGCAGGGGAATCTATGGCCCTCCCTGGCTAGCTGAAATAGTCTGGCAATGGCCAACAGGCCCCAGCTGGGATAAATTTAGGCTCAGTCACTCCGAGAAGCTGTTCACTTTAAATTCTGCCCTGCAACCACAGATGTTTCCAGATGTGCAACATGCTGGGAATTATGACCTATCCTGATGGGCTCAATGCACGATTTTGGCCGTTGTGTTTCATACGCCCCTTGTGCTTTAATACAGTGTCATTTGGCTTGGCATAGGCTGAGTTGCAGAGACTTGAAGGGAGTGGTTAGTAAGGCAACTGAAAAGACTACTCACAAAACAGCTTCAGTATGGTCTGCAATAAAAAAGGATCCCCAGACAGACCGAGGTGGAGGCGATCCAAGTGCCAGGTGTGGTTCAGCCACCATGCTCACTGAAATCTAATCTTCTCGCTGTGGCAGCCAGTAAGAGGCCTGTGAAAGCTATAACTTCACTGATTTTTCCATCATTAGCTATGACCTCCCTTCTGGCCACTTACTCCAGTCTCAAAGGATGGGACCCTTTCTGGAGGGAAGACCCATCTCTCTGTTCCCTGAGAGGAAATTAATCTGTAGCATTGCTTGTGTTTTACTTACTATATTTATAAAAGTGGAAACACCACCTGAATTTCTCTATAGGCTCTGCAGGGAAATCATGTTTCCATATTGCATTATGAGAAATGCAGTGGAAGTGTGCTATGCTCAGTTAATTTTTTTTAATGTATGGAGGCAAAAGAAACCTCAGTTCAGAACGAGTATATGCCTTTCTCTTTCTATTCAACATCCATAGTGCTATAAATACAAACTGCAGGGTACTTTCAGAACTGCAAGCCTTTAAGACCTCTCAAGGGAAAACATCACACCAAATTAATCTGCCGTCAAGTGGAAATTCTATATTGTTTGCATTTGCCAATGTTCTGTATGTGCCTGTAATTGCACTGAAGCAAAGATCTGCTTCGAGTTCTTCACAAGATTAAATGTGGCCAATTGGGCGTAAAAGACTAATCAAAATGTAGAGCTGCTGCTTTGGATTTGTTAGAGGCATTGCTCATTTTTGCTCTGACACGATGACACTAGGTTCTGGCTTTGTGTTAAAACAGGGAAATTTGGGGAATGTGATTTGGAGCGTCGGGTTGCAAGCCAAGAGGAGACCGCTTCTGTCTGGCACTGCTGCTGGCCTGCAGTGCACCAGTGGGCAGTGTGCCCTGAGCGTGCCCCTTGCTTTACGTGTGCCGGGGACACCTTCCTTCCCTGTGATGAGCAGTGAGGCTGTTGATAGCCATGCCCCAGGGTGCAGCATCTGGCTGGGACTTCCAGTATTGGCTCCTCAGGATTTCATGGTCTTTTTAAGTTCTGAGTATTTGCCATAGACCTGAAGCTAAAAGGAGTTGTGAAGATCCTGGCAAGAGCCTCCATGGCTTATAAGAGAGGGAGCCCAAGGTCTGAGCTGGATCCCGGCTCATGTCACCATGTCAGACTAAAGGAGCATGTCAGCTTGCAAAACCTGAAGTCTTGCCCTACGCCAGCTGGATGTGAAATGTTAAAGATTTGCTTAAAACCCTCATGCTTTCTTTTTCTTTTTACTAGTTCAGCCATTTCCCCTCTTGCCATATAAATGCAATTATAAGCAAGTAAAAAGTCTTTTTTCAAGTTGGCTGTGCTGCCTTTTAATTCTGCATGAAAACCCAACTGCTCCCTATGCCCTGCCCAACAGGTAGTTAAATAAACAGGCCCAGGTGGGCTAAACTGCCAGTTTGAATCCTTCTTTATTTCATTTTCTTTCCAATTAGTGGGCTTATCCAAAAAATACATACTGAATTCCTACCAGCTTGCTCATGCTCAGCCATTTCCCAAGGAGTTTCTCAGTGCAACTGCAGAGCAGTCCTGACAGCATCCTTGCACTGCCTTCAGTGAGAGCAGCATCTCTTGGTCCAGTGCCAGGCACTAGCAGGCCTCTGCTCCTCTGCCTTTCCCCCTTCCTAACTGGAGGTCCAGCTCCCGAAGCTGCTTGAGAAAGCCGGAGTTGGGGCAGATCCCTCTGTGTGAGCGCACAGTCTGAATTGCATCAGCGAGGGACATATCTTCACAGATCATTAAGAAAGCGAGGACAAGAGTTGCAGATCGACTGATTCCCATTGCACAGTGAACTAGTACTTTGCCTGGAAAAAGGAGAGAGATATGCAGTTATGCCAGGAGGCTGAATGGCAGAGGTTATCGTGCTGGAGCAGATATGGAAGCAGTGCTGATACTGGGGCTGAGCAAACAGGTGTGCTCAGCCCTGCAGAGCAGACCTGGTGCAGTGCTGGTTGGGGAACAATGGGGTTTTTAATGGCTGGGGACAGAAAATTCATAATTCTATTCCAGGATCCATGCTTGCCAGCCTGATGGCCCTTAGCCCTCCTGCCCAGCCTGCCATCCATGCTGTCCCTGCTTGCACACATGTGGTTTGGGGAGTGATGTACTTGCTTCAAGTCTTCATGCTTGAAGGCTGTGCTATGGGAAGCAGGTTACTTACTACCAGAGGGCCTGCAAACTTGGGATTTCAAATGTGCGACGCTCAGGAGTGCTCACTGCTATTACTGGAACACTCCTGGTTTTCCACAAGCTCTTTTTTTCTTCTTTGCTTTGGGCACTAATGCTTTCTGAGGGTGCTGACTGCTGCCCAGACCTTGTTGGAAGTGTGTGAGAAAACGGGTGTTACCATTAAGAACAGCTCCTGTTTGTATATGCCATCTGCACCAACTTACTTATGGGTTTTTTTTATTTCTATAGCCTACCCTGTACATCTATAGTCACTATCCTTCCCTAATGCCTTTATCTTCTCTTCTGTATTAGGTGATCACTAGAGAAACAATTTATGAAATGTTTTGAGTTTCCTGGGGATTTAAATATGACGTCTGCATCTTCATTAAGAGTCCATTAGGAGTAATATCATGAGTCCTTCCATGTTGCTGTAAGTGAGCCTCAGGGAAGACCTTTCAGGGATCTAGGAGTATAGCTCCTCCTTCCCTCTGCTCTGCTTTTGGTTTTTCTGCTGTGATGACTAACAGAAGCAGCCTAAGAAATGCAATTCTGTGTCATGACTGCTTCCCAGGTTTCTAATATGTGTCTTTGACCCATGCTAGAAGGAGATAAACTTTTTTTTTTAAATGGTCTTATGTGAAATTAAAGGAAATTTTGTCAGAAGGATTGCTTTCAGATGGAAAAATTCAGGTTTGTAGTCCTTTCCCTTTGGATGTGAAAAAGGAGCTCATTCTGGAACCTGAAAACCTGCATCTTGTAAATATTGTAAAGTGCTTCAACTTTCACAAAAATGGTATGATTCAATGAGATATTTTTAATTGGAAAAAAAAAATGTTCTGTTGTTTGACTTGATTATAGCCATGCCTGAAAATTTTCAAACTCTCTTGTCCTTTGCTGCAGTCAGGTCTAGTCTTTTCACAGAGACCGTGGCTCGGTAATTGGGCATTATTGAAGGAACCAGTGATTAGAATCAGTTTTGAACTTCTGAGCATCTAATGGAGAGCTCTGTCTCCCACTAAAGCAGCTAAAAAAAAAAACCCATGAAAATTCCCAAACACTTCTTCAATGGAAATCTTCACAGGTTTGGAACAAAATATTTTCTGCATTTTTTTATATTTTAATTTTTTTAGACTGTCACATTTGTAGTCCCTTGTTTACTAAGTGTATAGCTGTACAAAATGTGATTTAACAACATGACAATTTATATCCAGAAAAAGATTAAAACAAGCAAAAACTATCCCATGTTGCTTTTTTTTTTTTTCCCTTAGACATGGAATAAAGTATCTCAGATGCTGCTTCTCTGTAAAATGTAAGGAAGGGTAGAAAGAATGGACAGCTTTTCGAAGCTAGTTCCTTGTTTTGTTTGTGTTCACAGCATCTTAATTTCTCTATTACCGGTAAGTGAGACAAAAATATCCTTGTTGGATGATGAGCCTAGATCCAGCCAAAGACCTCAGACTGATTGTCCCCATCTCCCTGGGTGTTAATTCTGGGTACTTTGTGCACAGCTTTTAATCTTAAATCCCATTTTGTTTGTGACAGAGTATTTATTTAGCAACCGTTCCAGTTCTGACTAATCGCGATGGCATAGCCGCATGCTCAGAGAGTGCGAGCATGCGTTGTTAAAACCTGCTCTGGCCAGCAGATTGAGAGAAGTGTTGAATTCCACAACGTATGTGACACAGCCACCTTTCATTATCCTGGCATGAGAAATCTGAGCTCAGCCCTAAAGATAGATGTGTCTTCAGCAGAAATAAAGGGACAAATACAGTCTCCAAGGAAGTGGTGAAAACAGCTCTGGTGACAGCAGACTTGGACTGAGCATCAAAACCTTTGAGGGAAGGAAGAAGTCTTTCCAGTGTAATGGCAGTTTTGCAGAATTAGAAGATCAAGTGATTTCTCTTTGTGTTTCCCCATTCAGATACAGCTTCACAGAATTTTTTGAGATACTGATGCCATTATTCAAGTTACATTACACCTGTCAAGTCCATTAACTCCATGGGGATTCTTGGAAGTGAAGTCCTACTTTTTATGGGAATGTGGAGAAATGCTTTGTGGCCCTGCTAAAAAATAATGCTAACTTGATTTTTCACTAGACTTTTTTTTTTTTCCATGTGCTGCACTATCATTAGCCTTCACACCAATCTTGCGGGATATGTATGCTGGATTGTCTTCCGCAGAGGAGGCACTCCAGACTCAAATAAGCCAGGTCTGAGATTTTCAAAGTCACGTAAAGGAGTCAGGAACACAATTTCCCTTTGAGAAATACTGCGAATAGGGCTAAGTCCAAAAGGTCTTTGGAAAATCCATGCTTCAGTAGTTTGCAGTAGGCCTGGCTGCAACGTAGTGGCAGGGACTCGCGAAATCCAGACACACACCCTAATGCACACTCCAGAAAACAGAAGCCAAGGAACAACATGTTCTGAAAAATTTTCTTGGAACCAGAACTGCTTTCTTCTTTTTGGTCTGAAAACTTCTAAGCTGCCAGCACTCTACAACTAAAAAACAAAGACATTTTATTTATGGTTTGAACTGCACCAGGAGGGAGAAAAAAAACCCAAAACAACTAAAAAGAGATGGCCTTGATGTTGGATTTGATTTTGAATTACTAAATATTTTGAAATTCAATCAAAATTTGGCCAGAAATTGGATGGGGGGACAGAAGGCTTGCTGTTCTGAACCTAATTTCTATAAAATTGTTCTTGGGTCCATTTTTTTTCCACCCAGATGGAGGCTTCTGCCTTGAAAAATGCTCAGCCCTACCTGCGGTCTGGAACTGAAGACCAAGCTGAGCACAGGTGTGGATGCTGCTATTAAATACTGCCTGATATGTTTTTGTTTGGGGGTACAGAAAGCAGAACAAATTCCAGGTTCCTGCTTGTACAGGCTGTCTCTCTACCATTGTATATCTAACTCTGTGTCTGAGAGGAGGAGGTGGCGAGTAAGAACACACTGAATTTTCTTCCCTGGCTTATCTGCACTTCCAAAGAGTCCTCCTAGATCAGCAACTAGATGTAGAAGGTGTCTCAGCAAAAACCTAGGCAAGCCCCAACTATTGACCTTGGACCTAACCTGCATGGTTCTCTAATACACTCGTTCCCATGAGGATGCAGGTATATTATCTCTTTTACATGTGCAATATCTATTCCACATTGTTAGCCTTTGTTTCACTACACACAGAGGTTATGATAAATGCCAGTACACTGACAATAAAATGACTGTTTGTTGCAGATAAATCAGTCATGTAAAATGATTTAATTAACATAAAATTGCTCTAATGAAAGCAGATTTGAATTTACTATGTGATTATTTGTAGCAAACAAATAGAATGTTAAACTTGAGTCAGGAAACAAAAGCTGTGTTGCTATTTGGTTCTGTTTACAGGCTTAAACCCTTGTTTCTTAGCAGCAGCTGTAAATGGGTTAAGTGACACTCCGAACCCACCATGATATACTGCATTTGACTAGCACCCGAAGCGTGTCTGCACCATGTGGGCTGACTGCAGTGGGCTTGATAACAGTGTGTTGCATCAGCCTCTCACGGGAGGCAGCTGAGATGCACCGTCCCAGCGCCGAGGCTCGGATTCCCATGTGGCTGCTGGACCACAGCCTAGGAAAGCAGTGTTCACAGGGGCAGTCGTGGTGCATGCCCCTGTCATGGGATGGGCAAGGAGGTCATAACTAGATCTTCTGTACCACAGAATCCATGCCACAAGCTGGCATCCTTCAACTCTGCCTTCCCCACCCCCATTTGTTTTAACATACAGCGCAAAGAGAAGTTGGACTGATCCTATATTAGTGGGCCATGTTGCAACCTTCTCTCTGAGCATGTAAAGGGATCCCTTAGGAATAATGGGATTAACTGAGGAGAAGTGGGGGCACTTAGCTTCTGGCATTATTAAATCTTGCAATCCTTATTTGAAATGTTGCACCGCACATCTCAAGCTACTTTTTGCAGAGGCAGACAATAACTCTCATCTGGCTGGGATTTGTGCAGAACAATAACACTTGGTTTTTAACAACGGATTATGGATATTATATCCAGCTCATGCCTGCTGTAACTCTACTGACATCAAAGGGTTTGCACTAGGGATAAAGTTTGCACATTCAACTTTGTTGGCCAAATTCAAGTTGGGAAATTCAATGTTGTTGAACAAATCAGTCATTAAAACACATAATATCTTATTGTCCTTTTGCTACTCATCATTAACTGAGCTAAATGTCCTGAACTAGCCCTTGCTTTCTTGCAGGATGGATTCAATTTGGCTTAAGACCAGGCTCCAGATCTGTCACCCAGAGTGAATGCCCCAGCTGCCCTCGTTCCATTGAATCCAGAAGAATTCTGCTGCTCACCAGGAGAACTCAGCTGAGCTAGTGGGCCCCATGGGCTCTTCCCACTCCACCACAGTTTTCTCATCTCCTGTTACGTTTTAGCCACTGTTATGTAGCTAGGTGCAGAATCAACTGTCTATTTTTTGATTAATCAGGTGTCTATTTTGTCACAGCTGAAAATAGCAAGAAGCCTACAGAGGGCTTTAAATGGTGGCGTGTCCCTTCTCCTCACACCTCCCGGAACAGGTAAGGGCTGTCATCTGCTGGACAGTGGGAGGTCAAACTGATATATGCAACCTTTTCTCCTAAGTTAAGCTTCTTTCATAACCACCACCACCACCAAGAAGGAAGCAGGAGAGGGAGCCTGGTTTTTCAATCGCTCCAGTGAAGTGAAAGAAGGGAAACGCTTTTGAGAGGGTTTGCCATTTCAGGAAGTTAATGGGTGATTTTAACCTGCCTGTTTTAAATGTGTTAGGAGGTCAATAAAAGGAGAAGCTTTCTACTTGGGAATCTTTCTTTCTGCACGGTGTTAGTTTAATAGTTTTCGTGGTGTGCTTTCAAGTTCTTTCTCCTTATCTCTTCTGCTAGACTTTGCCAAACCCTGCTGATTTTCACTTAGGTTTAGCTGCACTCCAGAAAAATGCAGATTGTACAGATGGCCATACAAAAGGGCAAGACTGATGTTTGAGGTGTTGCCCCTTGAGCATGGGCATGCGGGAGAAGGCCAGTACTTCCCTGACACCATGTTTTTCCTTGCAGAGAAGTGGGCAGATCGTGCATCTGCTTGCTCTTGGCTGAGCCTTCCCAAACAGCTCTGTTATGTGGGCAAAGGAACAGCAGGGCTATGCCAAAGGAAAGGCAGCCAAGGAAGCGGGGTTCATAAAATAATGCTTATATGGCATGGTTGCAATAGTAGTGCATGTATTTCTTAATCTGTATGACAAAGATGATGAAGGAAGTCGTTCAGGGTGTGATGCAGCCATTGACCACTGTGACAGGAATAGCTTGCAATTAGGAGCATGTGAGTGTACGCTCCCCCACTTCCTTTTGCTCATGCTTTGGCATCCACATTTGAAGAAATTGCCTGAAAAATAAATTCCTTACATCACTAAAGATGTATTCTGTTCAGCTAAGGTAGAAATCTGGAATAAACCTGTCCATGCTGTTTTCTGGACTTCTGCTGTAAAGCATTTTTCTTCAAGCATGATAGGAGTAACAGTTCTTACTTAATTCTAATGAGAATTTGATTCAGAGTTTTAAATATGTTTGTGGCTCGTATAGTCTTAACTTTGACTTATCCTCCCAGGTGGAAAAGATCATTTAATTCCATTAAAAAAAAAAGATGTTGAATTTGCTTGTAATAGTTAAGCAGCAGTCTTAAATGACTTCTCAATCAAACAGAAGTACCTCGTTATATCCTGAATTTAATATGAATAGGCCTTTTGTCATCTTGTATAATTTTTTGTTCAGCATCACTGCTTATAATAAATGCTGGTTTTTCTCTTCTTCTAAATGATGTGAGTAACAATCTCCTCCCTGTCTCATCCCTGCACAGGTCATGGGTATTTAGCTGCTAAATTTCTGTACCTCAGGAAATTATGCTTCCAGAATATCTTGTTTATATATTTTCTAAACTGTTGTAGTTTCCTTAAAATGATGAATGTCAGCAACAGCTGGACTGTATATGAATGAATTTCACCGTGTCTCCATTCCCAGAACACTGCTTCCATATGGAGTTTAGTAAAGCAATATCTAAAATCATGGGAGTAGGGATAAATGTGCACTCTAGACACGATAAGTTCATTGTGTTTGCCTTGAGCCCTAACTTGTTCTGCATTCATAACTTTCAGTATTTGGGCATGCACCTTGCAAAGCATTGGTTTTGTTTGCTTTTGCGGCCACCACGATTCATCTGTTGTTTTCTGTCTTTTGTCAATTCATTTGGAGCTTTAGCTTTTTTTACACATGCATGAAAAAACTTTGGATCTTACCTTTCTCTGGAGCACCACCAATAATGATTCAATTGCAAATAGCGTATGCTGTAATAGAAATGGTTGCAGATCCAAGTTCCCCAAGTATGTTAGTGGTTTTAAAATCCAAATGCAGCCCTCAGTTGCACAAAGGCAAATACTTCCTAATGGGACAGATCAAGCCCTCCAAACACTAGTAAACGCTGAGGTATCTAGCACAGAGGTATGCTATTTTCAGTTACTGTGTCTGCCTTTCCTAGCTTGTATGGTGTGGATCAGATCTACTAGCTGCATATGATTAAGCTGGGTAGTTAGTATTTTAGGACCCTCATTGATATTAAAGCTCACCATGATGCAAGCAAAACAGTTTGCTGAGTGTATAACTGTTCTCTTAATAAATCACTTTTGAGTGGGTACCCGTACAGTTTTGTGGCACAGTGGAGACTTGCTTTTGTGAAGGTTTGTCCTTAATGGTAATGATCCCCCACTAGCCCCAGGCTTCTGGCAATGTACCTGGCCTGTGTTTAGCAAGTCCAAGGATTTTGTGGGTTATCTGCCTATTTCAAGGTTATATTCTTTCCACCAATAGCGTGATATTATCTCCTGGCTGGTGGTGTTGCTTAGGTTCTCTTCTTCAGTACTGCTTCCCAGCAAGTTCTTCCCTATCTTGTGTTTGTAGGACTTGCACAGATTGTAGGAATATAGTTGATTCTTCTTATTCAGATATGATGCTTGCCCTTGTCTTTTTACACCATCCCAGCTTTTATTTTAAACCCTATCACTAATTTGAAAAGATCAAGTGTATGTGCCTCCTCTCAGGTCAGTGTGTCCCTGTAGGTAATAAAGAATACTTGCTGTTTTGTCTTTTGCTAATGAATAGCACTAGGCAGAGGGAAAACCCCTTTGAAAGCTTGTTCGGTGCATCCTTCCCTGTTCCAGGGGAACAGGGGAACTCCCACTCACTCTGGGAGTTCAGGAGGCAGGTGTGACACTACTCGGTTTGGGTATCTCCATTCTTACGCACATCTGCACATGGTTAGTTTATGCCAAATACTATTTGATAACTTGCCCTACTTGTCTCCTGTGCAGAAGATATGCAACATGCACAGATGGTCTAGTTACCTCTTGGGGAATTCAGTGCTGCTCTTATGTATTGAGCAACTGGGTAGAAGTAAATGCTGAGATCAAAGTTTGGGTTGTCCTCTGCTTCTACTCCATAGTAATCCACAGGCAGCTCTTTGTAGAACTTGGGTCCAGTGTTGATGTGAAATCGCCCAGCAGCAGCATTCACAACATGGGAGATGCCCATTCGACTCAGCTGCGCTTTGTCACGAGCGACGTACCTGGAAGAAGGACGGTGGGTTATATTCGCCTGCTGCATTACAATGTGGGGTAGAACATGCTGCTGGTGGTGCCATTTGTTAAAACCACCTGAAGTTGTAGTGGCTGTTTTCTGACAGGCTGATCAGGTCCAAATTGTCCACCAAAATGCTTCAAGACAGAAGTGACTCGTTAAGAAACTGGCTTTTACATTTCCTGCATTTTTCTCCCAAACATCAGTTTAAGTTCTTCTTCTCGACTGATGAAAAATAAACAGGTCATGGTGGTGGTGATATTTCTGCACGAGCCAAGAGTTTTCTGGTTTGCTTTCTTACCAAGTCACCTCTGCTGAGCATCCATCAGTTCAGGGGACTGATGCCATCTGACAATATGAAGAGAAAATGAGGTTGGTCCTGTTTTACCTAGCTCTGGCGTGACTGCCTGCAGTACTGATGCCGTGGCCCCGCCAGGCTCTTGCAGTGTGGGACTCCTGTACTAATGCAGGAGGAGAAATCAGGAGGGGGAATATTCTTTTTGGATACTTAGGATGCCTTTTCTCTATGCTACAGCATCCTATGCACAGTTCAGCCTTGCTCCACACTTAGAGGGGTCCCCAAATTAGTGCCTAGCTCTCTTTTTTTAAATAGAGTGGAAGATCTGGGGGGAAATAGGGTGGGGGCTAAGAGTTGCATTAACACCTTCAACCCTTCCCTCTCTCTTACAGGTCTCCCACGTAAAGGTTTGGCCAGACTTCATCCACGTGCCCCGTGGGGTGCGCGCGTGTCCAGAGCAGGCGCCGCAGCTCCTCCAGGGAGGGTGTTCGGGCTCTGCCCTGGCTGCCAGGTGTCCGGCTTGAGGCACTTCTGATCTTGGGGCGCAGTAAGTCCCCGCTGCACAGGGAGTCCCAGGCCATCCTGAAAGGTGGAGGGCAGACATTCACCACCAGCCAGAGGCATTTCTGAGGTCACCCTCTCTTCCCCTCACCTTCCCTTACCCCCTCACAAAGCTGGCCCACAGTTACAGCAGTAAGCTTTTTGGGGCAGATACTGTCTTTCTCTTGGGTGTTTATATGCTTATCACAGCAGGGACCGTGACTGGACTTGGGAATACCACTGCATTCTAAACAATGACAGTCCAGTGGCTCTCATAGTCCCGTGTTGTTGTTCACACAATGATTTCAAAGCCTGTGCTTCTAAAATAAGCTTTTATATTATTACGGCAAATTGGAAATGAAAGCTTTTGCAAACTACTAGGCTGAGGGCCTCAGTAGGCTTATTTTGACCTGACTACTCAACCTTTCTTTCTAGGTATGTCAAACAGTTGATTAAAACTTCATGATAATATTTTTTAAAGTTTTTTTCATAGGAAGTGGGAAAGTTCATACTACTGTCCGGAATTCTAGACACTATTACTACCACAGTGAAACAGCCCAGTCCTCAATATGCCAGCATGAGAGTTCTGCTTTTGAATGGAAAGAGGTAATGCTACAGAAAATTTATTGTATAGAGGTAGCTACTCAGTGGGTATAGAAACAAGTTACTAATTTGGTATGCTGAGCTTTTTCTTTAACCATGTAACTAGGACTTCCTTATATATACTTTATCCAATTTGTCTTCTATAATTTGCTCAACAAACTGAATAGAACCGGTCATGCAAAATCTTGTTTACTGGTTAGCTCTTAATCGTCAGCTTCAACAGGGGAAACTCTGTAAGGAGTATTTTGGTTCTTTCTGGTGGTAGTTACCAGCCATACTTGTCCTCATGACAAATGTTCACGGTAGAAAAAATCTGCATGAGTAAGTTATAGTGATTCCAGCTGCCATTTATATGAGCATTAATTTTTTTTTTAATAGGTCATTTCATTTGCATTCCTCTCCTCTCTGCACCCTCCAGGAACTATCCTATTTCTAATCTTGAAGTAACTACTTCAATTACAAGGAGAAACACTTATTTTAGGCATCAGTTTATCTTTGGAATTACTCTGTTCCCATGTGGTACATTTCTTTTGAAATAGTGGTTCCTTGTGTTAGCTATAGATTTGAACTGTTGGGAGGATGTTTTTTTAAGAGGGGAATGGAAATTCTATTTTTAACAGAGTTCTGTTTTAAGAAAATATTTAAATAATATATATTTTTCTATGTTCTAAAAATCAGTCAAGCATCTGCATTACAGAGATATTAGGAAGCCTGTCAACTCGTGCAGCTTTAGAACAGAAGCATCTGTCTAGGACATGGGTGAAGTTGCAGTCAATGAGTCAAAGTCTTGCTCTGCCACTGCCTACTGAACATCTTTTGCATAAATGATTAGAGGGGTCGGTTTGGGTAGAACAGTCCAGGGCAGCAAACGTGAAATCTTCCATCTTTCTGCTGAACATCTCTATCATTTACAAATAGGTTGTATTCATGTTCAAGCACCTCCACTGACAATTTCTTTCCAAACACTAACTGTGGTCAAAGGTTTTCCTAATTTCCCATCAAGGTAATTTCACGAGCTCCAAGTTCATATTTTCGTGTAATTTTATTTAAAACTATTTATCTTTGCATGCACAAAGACAGAGAGAAAGTCTGAGGACTAGCCTGCTTTGGGATCTCGTTGTTTTGCTGAAGGAGAAATGGAGCAACTAAGTCCCTGAAATGTCTACAGAAATGAAGGAGGGAAGCAGTGACTGTTGTCTCAGTGTTAGGCCACTGAACATTGACTAGAAGCCACCCTTCTGCCACGCACTTTGGGTGATTTGCTTTGCCACCCAGCTGCCAAGAGGGGCCCTTTGTTATTTCAGTACACCTTCTTCTGCCACCTTCACAGGCAGCCTTGTCCTCTTGAATACATTAAGTTTTCACCAAATAATGATGTTCCCAGGATGGTCTTGTATTGTTTGTATTACAAAGAGCTCCACTGTGGAATGTGCTCCCCTCCCAAATGTGCGTATCTCCTCCAGCGTCAGCTTTTACTGTGAAAACAAAAGCAGATGTTCTTGCCCATTTTGGATGGCTTTATGCAAGAGGAGGCATGGAGGAATTCCCATACTGGAACGGACATCTCCCATTGATTTTGATAGCTTCTTTGACACTGGCCACCCCAGTGCCCACTGTGCCAGGTCTGCCCAGCTCCCACTGGTGATCTCAGACACCAGCAGGACTTCTCTGATCCCACGCAGGAGGTCTGCAGCAGAAATGGGACTTGCATTTCCTGTGTCCTGACCACAGGGCCATCTGCCAGTTCATTAAATACTTTCAAGAATAACAGCCTCCTCCAATCATTCCCACCTCATAATATCTGCAGCAAATGTTCCCCTTTTTTGATGTATCTCGTTCCTTGCAGTGTGGCTAATGACCACTCTAGGGCACTTCTCACTCCTTATAAAGTTGCTTTTAACTGTTTTGGTTTTTTTCTTTACTTATCCCTTCCTCTCGCCCTCTCCACTGTATAAATCCTTTTATTTTCATATTATCTACCCTCAGAGGACTGAAGGCTGCTGTCAGCCTTGCTTTCCTAAGCCTCACAGGAGCAAAGAATTACAGGGCCCTGCCCAAAAGTCCTGGTAACGTTGTGGCGTTCAGGCTGCCCTTAAGATGGGGAGGGACAGGCAGCAACTCAGTCACATAGCACTTCTGGGAGCTGTGCTTTCCAGGTCCATAACTCCACCCCTGTAACAGCTGGGCAGATAACTCTGAAGTATAGCACACCTCAGGAAAGGTGCTCCTTCCGAGATTTTTTTTTAAGTTGTCTTTCTAGAAGGGAACATAACTGTGTAGACTTGGCAAAAGAAGGTAGTATGTGCTATGTGGATATCGAAAGTTGTGGAATAATGAACGGTCTTTAGAAGACGGGTGTGCTTCTTTAGAATTATCCTAAGATGACTTTTAGCTTGTGCTTACGTTGATCTTGTATTATAGCTAAGGAATTTACTCCTGTTAAAACACAGGCATGAACTACTGAAGCTTTGTACAAAACTTATTCCATCTGCATTGTGGTCACATTTTTTCAATGGGAGAACAGCATCAGTTCATGTAAACTCTATATCCAATAAAAAGTAAGGACTGGGGTTCAAATTTCAAATGTGAAATAATGGGAACTAACAGGCTGTGAATGATTCAAAAGCAGAGAAGTTTCTGTAGGACTATTCAACTAATATGTTGAATAATGAATACACTGAAAAAAATAATAGCTTTCCGTAGAAAATTTACAGACAGGAAAACAAGGCAATTTTTTTCTGAATAAATGACTGCTCAGTTCTAGCATCAGTCTAATGTTTTAACTCACTAAATTTATACATGCAAGTGTCATTTACTGAAATGCAGATATTTAAAGAAAACAATGCTATGATTAAAATTTTGTGTAATGTTTTATAAGGAGCATGAATAGATTAAAACACATTAGTGTGAAAGGAAAATGATTACATGTAATAATGTGGTTGTTCTTAACTTTAAAAATATGTTTTTAGTGATTCTCAGCTCAATTCCTCTATATTCGCTTTTTGTAGTGGATCAGTTTCTGTGATGTGTGTTGTATGAATGAGCAATACAGTTTTAAAATGCTGGTTTCTGAATGTTATTCGTATGAAATGTTCCTGATCTTTGCCCTACTGGAGTTGTATTGCAGTAATTATTCAGTCACGTAGGAGAAATTTTACCATTATATTTAGATTAATTTTGAATTGGTTTGTACTACAACTGTAATTGTATCTGAACTGTGTAACGGAATTTCCTTAATTATGACTAGGAGGAGAATTGCAGTCAAAGAGGCTTATTGCAGAACAGAAGGTCATTCTGATGATCTAGAGTGACCTAGAGTATGACACAGGCCGTACGTGTCACCACACCGTGCCTGCATCTGTAGCTGCCTTTCTGGAAACCCATCAGAGGCTTTGCTGCAGCTGGGCTACAAGAGCAGCCGCGTCAATCGTTCCTTATATACAGACTATCCCAGGAAGAAAGGAAGGTGGTCCTGTGAGAGGTCCCAGGGAGCCTAAATAGTCTGGAGGGAGATACTTGCTCTCTTCTCAGCACTGAATGCCACTGTGGACTGCATATACTGTGGACGCTTTGGTGGTTTTTCAGTTAATTCAGTGACTATAGCTTTATCCGTAACATAATTAGTGCTGTTCAGTGCTGTGCTGAGGAGAGGGCCTTTAGAGACAGGTATCCCTTGACAGTGTCTCAGTCCTTGGAAACATGTGCCACCTTTATCCAATTTCTCCAACACTATAGTATTTAATTAAATAAGAACAAACTCAACAGTCAGTATAATTTCACAATTTAGCATTACATTGGTACGAGATCAAGCTGAGGAGATGCTGTGAAGGCTGAGATGGGGCGACACAAAACCCTGCAGCATGCTGCTGTGGAAAGTCAGGAAGAAAAAACAACTCTTGTGTCTAGGATATTTAGTAGAAAACCTTTATATCCTCCGCTTTTCCTCACGTTTTCCAATGCAAAGGTAAAGGAGTAATTTGAGTATAATACAAGGATGTTAATGCTCTCATTTGAATGATGTACTGAATATTTTAATCATTCTAGGTATTGTATTGGCTTTTGTGTGTGAGTAGACCATGGCCATTTTCCTCTGGCTTTAGTAAAAATATTTCTGAATTTTTAAATCCTGAGAACAAAGTCCTCTACATCCTGTTTTTTCTCGAGCTGGTATGTGCTGTAACCTTGTCATCTCAGTGAAGATATCAGTCTGACTGCACTTCAGATAGACTGATTTGTAGTGGTAAAAGACCAGGCTGAAGCCCAGGGCTTGGCCAAAGTAGGTTGTGTCAAGTTCATGCCTATCGTGTATTCAGAAGTCATAAACATTTCTCAGAAAGCCTATCCCTTGGAAAGATTCCTCCAAGATAACGTACGTTTGAGAGAGGGGTTTGTGTTGCTACATTTCCACACAAATGACAAGTATTACTGTCATCATTCT